CTCTTAATCTTACTCTTTTCTTCCATTAAAAAAATACCCAAAAGAACCCCTTCATCATCCCCATATTTTTCCAGCCTTTCCCCACACAAACACCATCATTTCGTTCCCAGAAATCTGCCAAAATAATCGATTATCCTTGTTAATAATCGATTATCATTCCTCCATCAAAACACCTGCATGCGTCGTTAATCGATTATCAACCTCGGAAATCGATTATCATACATCAAAGGAAACTCCTGCAGTCCTCTATAATCGATTATCACCATACTGATAATCGACTATCAATCCCTCCAGAAAATCCAAGAAACTGCAGCATCAGACAATCGATTATCTAAGATAGACAAGCGATTATCCTCTTGTCCTGAAATCAAAAGGCGTTATTTCTGGAGTTTGCGCTTATTACCGGTAAACCCGGAGCCGAGATATAACACGGCTCCTTGTGGTTTCTTCTCCTTTTGGTGCACGTGTTAGTCCACCAAGTAGATGCATACTTGCGGAACTTCAAGGCCACTATCTTGACCTTCTTCTCATCGGAGACTTCTTTGAAATCGAAAACGCGCTCCACCGTCTCTAGCCATTCTAGAAACTCGTCCGGGTCGTTCTTTCCCTCAAAAGTTGGGACATCAACTTTGAAGTCAGACCCGTCATTAGTTTTGGCTTTGTTGGTGCTACTGGTGCTTGCATCATCCTCATGATCACTTCCTTGAAGGGTGTTGAGCTTTATCTTGGTGAGCTTAGCTACCTCCTTGGCCAAGTACTCAACTTGGGCCTTTAAGGCAGCGTTGGATGCAACAAGCTCCTCATGGGACATGGGTTGAGATTCATTCGACATGGTTGAATTGGCGTCAATGGGTGGTAGGAAAGGAAATGGGTAAGGTTGAGGGAAGTGTTTTGGTCCTTGGGGATGTGGAACAATGGGCTCTGATACCCAATGTTATACCCGAGCTCCGGGAATAAGTTTTAAGTTTGGGACAAAGCTTCTTAAACTGCAGGAGAAAGGAATAATCGATTATCAATTTATGATAATCGACTAACAAGAGGTTCAGTTTCTTGGGAAGGAATTTTGGGAGTTCAGGGAAGGGAAATAGTCGATTGTCACTTTAGCAATAATCGATTGTGGGATTGTGTAGTTTAAGCCAAGAAGATTCAAAAGGGTGGGATAGTCGATTATCAATAGTTGATAATCGATTATTTGGGGTTTCAGATTCTGCCAAGGAAGTTCTGGGGTGTTGGATAGTCGATTATCATTGAAAGATAATCGATTATCAGGGTTACCCGAGGTTTCAATATGGAAGGAAAATGGCTGGGCTATGTAGGGAAGTTATGGGAAGGAATGATAGGGTGTTTT